CCCCCCCCCCGTATTCTCTTATCTTTACACCTCTTTCTGCATTGATTTTAAACTTCTCCCTGAGCCTCTTCTTCCACTCTTCTATCTCTTCCCCTCAGTGTGTCTCCTGTTGCTGCTCATAAATACAGTAAACACACACACACAGCTACACACACCACCCTGTCTGTGTATGCTGGCCTGATTGAGACGACATGCAGTGTGGGCCCTGTGACCTTCATGGTGGCTCAGATCTGCGGCTGGCACTGATTTCTGATTTAGTGTCGATCCGCTGCGCTTGTCAGGGGCTGCGAGGTGCTTTCCATGCGGTAATAGAAAAGCTCAAGGGCAGCTTGAGAAAGAAAGAGGTTAGTGAGAGGGATCGGTTCAGGTGCCTTCAGTGGGTTTCAGCTGTGTGGATGTGCAAGCCTCTGTTTGTTTTAGCTGCCAGGTATGTGAGTGGATGGATCGTTGTGAAATCCAGTTTACTTTAGATTTCAACAAGAAGATGTGAGCGAATGTGCTTCAAAAAGCAAGAAGGCTAGTGGCTACATGGCTTCAGACTGGCTTCTCTTTGAGCCATTACACAACAGATATAACCTAAAGCTTAACAATACCACAATTCTTTTATTGTGTTAATTCTAATCTAACATTTATAAAATTGTTTCCCTGTTGAACTCTGCATATTTTCTGATACTTTTGCCACTTTTCTAAATGTTCAGCTCATTTAGCAGATGGATGCTATGACTCTGAAATCTTGTTTTTATATAATAATAATAATAATAATAATAATAATAATAATAATAATAATAATAATAATAATAATAAACTGATCTTTAGAGCCTTCATATTTATCAGAGCCTCCTTAAGATTGTCAGAAGGGCAAAATTGGGCCAAAAATCTGCACAGTTATCTTGCCATGGGAACCCTGTGGTTTTGCAGGACTGAGATTCGTCACTGAACGAGATACAAACTCATGATCAATCCATGCCTATTGGCAAGATAGATGTCAGACAGGGTGGTGTGTGCAGCTGTGTGTGTTTACTGTATTTATGAGCAGTAGCAGGAGATACACTGAGAGGATAGATGGCAAGATGGGTTTCTGTAACACCTGGCTCACAAAACAATCCTTGGTTGACGTGATCGGTGTTAGGCAATGCACCCCTTCACCACACCTCATGTTCTGGATCTAAAATCGAGCAGTTTCTCATGCAAACCCACAACGAGACCTCTCTCAAACTCAGTTGCTGGTAAAACTGATTAATTTTTCTACATGGCATCTTCTCTGTCTGCTGAACGTCCCTCACTGTTTTGACTGTTGGATGCTCTGGCAACTACCTGATAACACTATCACTGTGACGCCATCACTTGTTTGGTGTTCAAATGTGCAAGCCGTTTTTAAATACAAAATCTGATTGATGATGTAGGAATTAAAAGACAGTTTTGAGCATCATGTAGAGATTTTTTTAATGTTGGAATGAAAAAGTCATCTTTTCAAAATGTAATTAAAATCTAAGAAGTCCAAAAAAATCATGCAAAGAAAAGAACAGAAAAAGGAGAGAGTGGGGAGGAGGCTCTTAGGGGGACACAACCCAGGGGAAGGATACGAGGGTTGGATGTTAAGAGTTACTTTTTTTTTTTCAAAAAATTTATTCATTTCATTAAAAAATACTATATAC